TATGTATACAAAAAGTTTTAGTACATTACATGTACACATATTTTAAATAACAAATTGTCTGGGTATAATGCACGCTTTGTGATATTTTATTTTAATATAAAAAACAAATTGCATAATACAAATAATGCAGATAATACAGATTGAATTAAATTATTTGACAGTGAAGAAAATTGTCATGTAATAATAGCTCTTATATATTAATATTACTATATCCTTTTATTACCTGAAATATAATACCTGTTAATAGAATAGCAGAAAGGAAAATAAATTGAAATCGAGTAAATTTGGATTGCTGATAGGGCCATAAACCGATAGCAAGCAGTAAAACTTTATTGAGATTGTAATATCGTGTTTCTAGTTGTACCATGTCTCTGCGAGTTTCTAAGTATTACTGAGAAGACTAAATACATCTACGACATTATGTTCCCCTCTCTTTTTTCACTGGTCGATCGAATATTTCACTTCTTATTTCTTTTGATATAAATTTTGACGCAAATTTCATATTTTATGCTTGATTGTGTAAGTTGGCTATAAGATAATCTAAATGCTTTTAATTCAATCAATTTCTCAACAATTGCAGGTAGTTATATTATCGATTTATGACTAAAGAAAGTAACAGATATGTTTTTCTCATAAAATTAAGTTGCTCTGAAAAAAACACGTAGATGTATTTTTCCCTTCTCAGTATTGAAACTTTATTTCAGTGCACTCACTCACAGGATACACTTAGCGCTCGAGAGGGTTTCTCACAATCTGTTTTATTTTTTCAATGCTAGATTTAACAGGATTGTTCATAATATAGAAATAATTTCAATAAAACAATACATTTATTTAATGCATTGCTTTTGTACATAGAATTAGTTGTAGTAAATGTAGAATCTAGTTGTAATATACATCGTAAAATTAGTTTAATAGATCGTGATTGCACACATACATTTTGTTCTTTAATATCGTTTAGATTAAATTAGTTTAATGTAACTCATAATATAATATTAATTAGAAGCTTAGAAATAAAATTAACTCATAATTAAATAGAAAAATTAATGTAATTTAAGGTGGCTATATCTTACCTGAGGAAAAGACACATGCATACATACCGGCTAGAGAACACTGCTTGCCGAAACTTTGAAGTACATTCCGTGAAGTCAGTCAATTTGTCGATCGTTTGTTCGTTAAAAGAAATCCTATTCGCCCTATATTTCAATACAATCCTTTAAGCTTTTTCGCGTAGTTTTTGTTTCCATTAGCTTTTTGCCACCGAAAGAGACTTATCAATACTCTCCTCCAAATAACATTTTTTTAATTTAAATTAGCGATCGACGCGATTCATATCTTTAATAAATGTTAACTACTTACGTGTCAGCTATCCCATAGTCTATAATTAGGAATAATATTAAATCCAATATCTTAGTAACGCATTGAGTATGGAAACAATTTTATTTTACGACAATATAAAGTATTTAGATATATTCTGCTTACATTTAAATTATAACTAATACAATAATCACTTTTAATATAATTTGCAATAACTTGTGATAGCAATACCTTGATTTAAACAATTTTAATGCTTTTCTTTTAGCAGGAAAATATCTCTTTGCACTATATGATAAAAAAAATTAATGTATTTTCTAAGAGAATATTGTGTTATATACCTCTTCATTAACTATATCTCCATCATGAGTACAATTAATTTCATCAGTGTGCAGAATGTATGAGAGTAAAATAAGATACCGAGGCCTTCACTAGCTATAGTTATAAACATACTGTTTTATTATATTATAGTTATGTATAAACTACTGTTCTTTAATATTTTTCAAATATTACCGTGGCAAAACCTTCCATCGATGCATCAAATACTCCACCAATATTTAAAGAAAATTCTTTAGTTCTTCTTTGCAACAGAAACAGTATCATTCTTTGTACATGTAAAGGGGTTTTATACCATTGAACATTGTACCTAAGGATTGAATATAGATATCGCTAACTTAATAGAAAATATTTTATTAGTTAATTTCAGCATGTATATAATGATATAATATACAATATATCAATTTATTGCATCTGTTGTTCTAATCACTGAAGAAAGAATGTTCATATATTATTTTTCATAAAAATGTTTCTCTTACGCAGTAATGAACACGTTATTATTGTGGTCAATTGTACTTTGTCCGATATAGTTAGCTATAAACATGTATATAATGCTTACAGAAGCATACACAAATGACACTAAAAAATCTCCAACATTATTTGTAGATGATGCTATCTGGAATAGCTAAGAAATTTCAGAGAAATTATCAGTTTTCTGCATATATGCATAATAAATATCAATGTATGAAAAATATACAAGTATTCTTCATTCACATAACATAAAATTGTACAAACAATTTCTAGTAATTGTCACAGAAATGGATAATTGTTATAGATCGTTAATTACACATAAATATTAATATGTTATTATATAAATACATGAGAGTTGTTTCCAGATTATGTGTGTAGATTTATAATAACCCTTAATAAAAGTACCACAACAAAAATTTGATAAATTGGCATAAATGATAAGTAACATGAGTTTCATAACAATATAAATATTTCTTTCCCCCCCCCCCCCCACGCATCTACAGATACATACAGAGTGTCTGACGCAAGAGTACCCTTACAAAAATGGTAGTAGATTGAGTTAGATTTAAGTCATGTACCATTTTACAAAATTCGCAATAATTGTCGAATAATTTATTGAAATGTCTGAGCGAATAAGCGCGTGGAAAGCGGTAAGCCGAGATCGGAAGGCATGCGAGGCGGGTACGAGCGACAAATTACTCTCTGTTTTTTTATCCGGAACGGAGTTACGTCGCGCGTTGTTCCACCTTTCGTTCACTGTTGCTAGGAGGATCGGGTCTACAAAGCAATCTGACATGTCTTCCGAGCCCGGCCTACCGCTCTCTACGCGCTCATTCGGTCAGACGTTTCAATAAATTATTTTATAATTATTGCAAATTTTATAAAATGATACATGACTTTTCTTCTTTGCATGACCCAATCTAGCACCATTTTTCGTTGGAGTACTCTTGTGTCAAACACCCTGTATGTACAGTATCACATTCATCATTTATTGGTTTTATATTAAAAATTGGTTATTGATTTGTCTATCAATACTATGGTATTGACTTATCACTTATTATATATTTATAGAATTATTATAAATATATTATAGAATTTTAATGCAACTCTCAAACATTAATACACAAAACCGAAAACTTACTTGAAACAGACTGAGGCTAAAGCAAGCTACCACACATCCCGTAAAACAACATATCATGATTTCGAATGTAGACAGTAAATGTTTGGATAATCTTCAAACACAAAAAATATTAATAATATATTGCACGAATATTATTGAAGAAAATACACACTTCATAGCTTGACGATGAATGTCCACGGCACAAATTATACCCTCAGTCATCGAAATTTCATTTTTTAACGAAATATTTTGTAGAATATTGATAGTTATTGCATGTTCTATACGATAGCTATAAATGTTTGTGTTTTGATTACAAAGCAACTTACAATAGTTCTTTCTGTTACAAAGCTCGATGCAAACTTTTTTAAATATAAAATATTGCATAAAGATAAGAAACTTTATATAATAGTTTAAATTCTTATGCTTACATTCCTCTATTATCCACATTCGTACCTAGCAATTCTAAACATTCCACAGGTATGCTCAATGTATGTGATGAGCATTGTACCTATCGCCACCATTACAAGTGCCCCGACGCATATTACTGCATTGGTGTGCAACAAAATCAAATAAAAATACTTTTTCTGATCAATAAAATATTCCGTAATAAATATATAACACGGTTCAGACGCATTCATACGTAAATTGACGTTAGCTATATTAAGCCAAATTTGCAATAGAACTACACAAGATATTGCGCATATTCCAAATGCTAAAGGGTAATAAAAATATAGTTATTTGTCTGTTTTATTTGATTATTAAACAATTGCTATTTATTGCAAATGCAAATTACATATTGCAATCACGTAACAACCTTTAATAGGCCCACAAAAAAATTTATGTAATTGAAAATTATAATATAGACCAAAATTGATTTTTATTGAGAATATAATATGATTATATTATCAATATAATATTATATAAAATTATTAAATATTATCTTACCCGTAAGTACAATCGTGTACCGTTTTGCGATACAACTATACTTTTCTACAATGGCAATTTCATTTTTGTCCTTTAATTTGTTATGTATACGTTGAAGCTCCGTTAGTAAATTTTTGACCTATCAGTTTATAAATTTTCTATACTATCTTTGTATACACGGAAAAAAGTAATTTTTATATAAAAATTTATTTCATCGACAGATTAATCCTGTGTGACGAATATTGTGTAAAATTAACTTACAACTTCGATATTAAGACAGAAAGTGTTATACTGTATTATGAACATTAAAACGAGAAACACGGAAGACAGAACTTTGGTAACAAGATTTGAAGTACATTTTAATGTTATTAATGGTGTTAACTAAAAATAAAAATAGGTTCGTATAATAATAAGGTGATTATTAGTAACAATACCATGTATTACAAAAATTTAATTGCACAATTGTCATTACTCAAAAGATTCGCATAAGTTAATTTATCCTGTAATAATGTTACTATAATCTGTACATTTACCTGAAATATAATACCCGTCGACAGAATAACATAAGAGACAATGAGCTGAAATCGACTAAATTTAGATTGTTGGTAAGGCCATAAGCCGACACCAAGTAACAAGATTCTATTGAGATTACAATATTGAACTAGACGTGTCATCTCTGTAAGCTCCAAAATATTACTGTACATACATTTAGTAGCCGAATGCATTCAGCCCCTCTTTTTCCGATGGTTGATTAAATATGCCATATCCTTTTATTCTAAATGCGACCAAAATTCCAGCTTTCATAATAATACAGATAAGAGTTTAAACGTTTGCTATAAGATTAATTGCGGTAATTTCGATCACTTTTATAGTAAATATTTATGCCATCGATTTAATGATTAAGGCAATTGGACAGATGTATTTTTTCTCATGATATTGAGCTACTTACGTAAAAAACACGCAGGCGCACTTCCTTTTTTTCTGCGCCGAAACTTCATTATAGTGCACGCATTCATAAGAAGCATTTGGTTTTCGAGAGAAACGTCTTTTAACTTTTATTTATTCGACACCAAACCTATCTAGAAATGCTGATAAAAATAAGTTCACCAAATAAGTATGTGTTTTTAATTTATATTAGTACTGTTTACAAATTATTTTCAACAAATATTAAACGTAAATGTGTTCACTATTTGTCCATAATTATATCACATTTTCTACTGGCAATATTCTTTTCTTATTACTTTTCAACACATACATATGTGATTTATTAACAAAAATATATAATTAACACTATACACTTAAACATTTACATAAATATTAGTACAAAATAAATGAAGTAAGGATAATGCTATGTATTAGTAAAAACAAATTGCGTAGAGGAAATAATGTTCGTGTTTATTTTATATGTTTATGTATATAGTATAAACCCGAGTCCAGTATATCGTCCCGGAATAGGTCACAATTATTCTATTCTGTTTTCATGTGTGCCTTGGCATCGGTTTAAAGCTCCAATTTGAGGCCCAGATGAGTAAAAAATTGTGTTTATATACCTTATTCTAACACTTAAAGAGAATGTAATAAAATATTTCACTCTCTTTGAAACCTCTTAGACCGAAGAGGATCTAATGAACCTCAGTTGATTACACTCGCATTGTCCTCTTCACTGATAAAAAGAAAATAACAACTATTTTCAAGCCTTAACGAAGTCAAAATTTCACTATACTTTCTCCGACACAAAGACCGTATTGCTCCCAATTCAAAAATTATACGAGGCTAAACCGAGGCTAAAATATTCGACTCGGGAACTCTAATTAGTATAATAATTGATATTAATACATTGGAAAAACGATGAGTAATGATATTTTATTAAAAATATTAAAGTATTAATACTTGAAGAAAATATTAATTTACATTACATGTTCAAAGAATATATCTATTTATTTTGCTAAGCTTACATACATTCGTTTGTTTGACTATGTCCTCACCATGTTATTATATTTGTATGTATTTCACTCTCTACCTCGTAGAAGATATGACAGTAAAATACGATATTGAAGTCTTCAGTAGCTGCAGTAATAAATATACTTTATATTGTTTCAATATATGTATATTAAAATATTTTAGAAAATATTACCATGGCGAAATTTTCTATAGATGCATCCAATAATCCACAGACATTTAAAGTAAATTCTTTGGATCCTCTTTGCAATAAGAACAGTATCATTTTTTGTATATGTAACGGAGTTCTGTACCACTGAACGTTGTATCTACGAGTAAAATATATGTTGATAGTGGATTACAAATTTAAAATAAGAACTTTTCATTAATTCTTTAGGTAATTATTTAGATTAGGACACCCATCTCCAATAACCTTGGGCTTGACATATATTATAGAGGTCACCCTCCTGAGTGACCTGCAAAAGATTTTAACCTGCGGACGTTGTGTGTTAAAAAGTTATTAAAAAAACAATGTTGACCAATTATATGTATTTTTCAGGCACAAATATTAAAAATTTTGAAAAATGTTTTAAACAAAGTTGTAGATCTCTTTAAAATATACATTTTATGTCCTATTCATTTTTACTATACGAGTAACAGTTTTCAATAAAAATGATGGATTCTAAATCTTATATCTGTCCTCTCATCTAAGCATGTGCTTTGTAGTACATATACGATTCCATATGGATTTGCGACTTTTCACGTGAAGCGAGATCCACTCCACACCTCGGACATAGTTTGGGTTAAGTTATATCTTAACAAAGTTGGGCCCCCC